TAGAGTATACTAAGATTAGAAGAAGCTCTTTTAATAATAGTATTAGTAGATTAAAATATTACTAATATTAATATAACCTANTCTATCTAATCTACTAAATCTATTAAATAGATACTTAATAGTAGAGCTAGTGCACATATCTACTCTAACTAAACGCTATTTAGAAGTATTACTAGCATTTCTAACACCTATATTAAATAGGGCAATATAGAAATAATACTACTAGTAATAGTAAAAGAAGAAGTACTAATTACTTTTACTAGTACTAACTAATTAGTCGTGCTAAAAGAAGTACTTCTTATACTAGAGTTTCGCGTTAATCTACTTAGTCTCTATTAAGTAGTTTAAAAAGAAGCTGAACTTTAATTTACTAAGGACTATAGTCTAATTACTCGATCTAGTAAAGTACTAGCTAAGAGATATAATAATTAAAAAATCGCGATCTTTTATATAATTAGCGATGTCTATCTAAATAATTAGATCTATACTAAGATTAATAACTTAGTACTGCTAATAGAATAGCTTAATTTATCTAAATAGTTATCAGATAATCTATTAGATTAATATGCTCTACTAGTAAGCTAGCTACACTAGTAAGCTGGCCGCCCTACTAGACTTGACGCGACACTCTACATAACTACCGTAATACTGCGATAATAACGCTCTATATAGACTTCTTATAAAGGTAGATTAAGTCTTACTATAGCCTCTTATTATAATAATCTAAAATAATTAGTATGCGCACTTATAGTAGCGTATAACGTACTAAAATTAACTCTCTAGACGCGTCTCTAGAGTGTTTAGCTACGATTAGAGATTCTATCTACTAGGCGTAAGCTATTACCTATTAAAGAATAGTCTCTTATATAGTAGATCCTAGACCTTAATTAACGTAGTTTTCTACCTAATATTATTAATATATAATAAATAGTAGACGCTCTATTTACTGCGCGTAGCTAAGATCTATCTCTACTACTTATTAGTAAGAACTAAGTATCGCGCTTTATCTAGAGCTAGCTAGAGCTTTAGATAAAGTAGACTAGAAGGCTTAATAGCTAGCGCGCTAACTCTAAGGATTCTATTATAATTATAGCGTAGTTTAAGCTAGTAAAGAAGACGCGCTAGGCGTATAGTATACTAGACTAGAATATCTATAACTTTAATAAGACTAGATTCGCTATAGGCGTCGCTATAACGTTAAAAGTTATTACTAGCTCTAATAGAGTAGGCTAAGTAGTTATTATATAACTAGGTAATTATAAGTAGGTAATAGTAATCAAGTATATTAAACGCGTCTAGCTAGTGTCTTCTACTCTTTATAATTCTAGCTAGTAAGGCCTATTAGAGTAGCTAGTACCGCAACCTTCTACTAGACTAGACTATTATAGTATTAGAGAATAGCTAGATAATTAATTAGCTTTATATAGAGTAGGTAAAGTACTTTAATTAGTATATAGTAGCTTATACTACTAGAGTCTATTAACTTCTTATTCTAGATAGCTATAAAAGCTACGCTACGCTAGAGTTTAACTAGTACTACGTAGAGAATAAGATTATTACTCTCTATATACTACCTTATATCTCTTATCTTCTCTAGCCTCTAGACATAAGCTACTACTTCTCTCTTAAGCGCGCGTATAGACGTAAGGTTAAGAAGCTTACTTACTAAGGCGTCTACTATATTAATAAGATAGAATTCCTTATAGCCTATATATAGATTTAGTAAATAGTCTTTACGTAGTAGAATATCTAGGTAGGCTTTTAGGTAATAGAACTTATCTCTCTCTATCTAGATCGCGTTCTATCGTCGCTTATAGTAGCTAGAACGCCGTCTCTACTATAGATAACTATAAAGAGTAACGTTATAGAATAGATAGTAGAGTAGATAGCAGCGTAGATAGAGATACTATATATAGTAGTAGAGGTTTAGCAGTAGGTGCGCTATCTCTAAGAACGACTACGGCGGTAGCTAGAGAGCCTAATAAGTATTATACTACGCTAACTTATTAAAAGCGCTTAGCTTATAATATAATCTATAATAATACTTATAAAAGAGAATTAGAAGCTACGTATAAAAAATTAGTAGTAATAATAAAAGTAGTATTAGTAATGTTAATATATTACTTCTAGTAGAGTACTCTAGGTATAGTAGGCTTAGTGGTTAGCTATAGAGGTAGAGAGAGTAGTAATAGAGGCTAGCTAGAGCTAGGCTAGTAAGCGACGTTAGTATGCGCCACTAACGTATATAAAGTACTATATTAAAGGATATACTTAGACTTTATATAGAGCTAGATAAATAATTATACTACTAAATTTTATCTTATTTTAATAAGTTATTATAGCTTAATTACGTAGAACGTTGCGTCGAGTCTAGTAGGGCGGCCAGCTTACTAGTATAGCCAGCTTACTAGTAGGGCACGTTAATTAAATTAATCGGATACATTAAATCTATCTAATCAATTAGATCTATTAAAGCTATTAAAATAGCTGAACTAGACGAAACCTTTTAATTAAAACGATTAAATATCTCTCTTATACTAACGTTTCGGCTATATTAGAAAAATAAGCTTAAATAAGCTTAGTAAGAACACTAATAGCACTAAGTTAAATATTAAGACTAGTAACTCGTTTAGCAATTACGAGATATGCTTAAAAAGCAAATTTACTAGTAAGATAAGTAGAGATCTAATCTTAACTCTAGTTAATAATTTTAGCAATCTTATCTACTACGATCTAGAAGAATCTATTAAGCTTAGAACGAATAAGGGCTATAGATACTATATTACCTTTCTAGACTATTATACTAAGTATCTTAAAGTTAATCTTCTTATATCTAGATTAGAGCTTATAGTACTAGTTAAAGCTTTTATTAAAAGAGCTAAAGTATAAGATTTAAAATAGATTAAGCTTATTTAATTAGATAATAAGTTAAATATCAAAGAACTATAAAAGCCGTTCTAACTACTAAGTTTTTCTCTAAATATATTATAAGGCTAGCGTGTAGATTATCTATCTTATATTATTTAGACCTTCTAGCTCGTTAGCTACTCTTTGCCTATTAGCTGTCTACTATCGTGCCTAGGCTTACCTATAAAGTTTTAATATTACTCTTCTTATTAGCTTTATTAGGTTTAGCTAGTCGCGTAAATAGTTCTTATCTATATCTCTTCTATAGGTTTCTACTACCTTACTAATCTCTTACCTATAAATAAAAAAACCTCTATTAGAAAAAAACTTATAAGTTAGTAAAATTACTTAAGCTATTTTATAAGTATATAGTCTATCTTTACTTCGCTACTATATTTAGCCTATAACTTTTACGTTAGCAATTAGTTATTTAGTTATTTACTTATAACGTAATATTACCTTTTATTCAACTAGTGTCTATTTATTAGTTAGGTTATAGGTTCTAGCTAGATCTTTATTAGATTAGTAAAGGAGCAGTCTTTTACTATTATAGATATATAAAAGATACTTTATAAGTAACTCTACTTCTCCTTTATAATACTAATATCTATTACTATAAGCTCTACTAACTTACTTATTCCTTAGTATAGTATTCTTAGCTTAGTCTCTAATAAGGCTATCTCTACTTATATCTATAACTTACTATAGTATTTATAATTCTAGCTGCTACTTATCCGCTCCGCCTATACTAGCTACTTTACCTCTTACTACTAAGAGTAAAGATAATATCTCTAATAGAACTATTATAGACTTAATCTAGGTTTTTCTCTATAGTAAGTTTTATACTTACTCTACTAGTTATAGTCTCTATAACTTCTATTAGGTCTATTATAAAGGTTACTATACTCTAGTAGATTTCTAAAGTTATTCTCTTAACTTTACTTCTACTAAATAATTCTTTCTAAGTTAAGCCTTACTTCTATTATATAACTAACTTATTCTTCTACTTTATTAACTACGCTCTACGTAAGACTACTAGTACCTTTACTACTAGTAGGTATACTAACGTTAAGATAATAATTAAGGCTAACTCTACGCTTCTAGCTAATTAGTAGTAGACCTTTAACTATATAATATCTCTCTAGGCTACTCTCGTTAAGTATCTAAAGTAGGTCTAATAGAAGATTAAGAAGTTAGATCTTACTATAGCTAAATAGGCGAAAGCTTAGTAAGTCTCTAAAACTTATAGTTTAAACTAATATACTATAACGTACTCTACTATTAAGAGTACTACTCTATTAAGTGTACTACTTTTTCTTAGCATCGCGAACTTTACGTATAAAAGATAATACCTTAATAATAGAACGCGATATTAACTTAGCGAGAAGGTAGACTTACTCTAGCTATTTAGGCCTATCATATAGGTTAGTTTAAGAGCATTCAACGCGCTACAGCAGCCTATAACGTCTATTACTAGCAGATCTCTTAGCAGCTTTAAGGAATCACCTTTTAACCTATAACGCAGCTAAATCGCTAGAAACTAACTAAATCTAAAGAGTAAATAATCATATAATATATTCTTAACCTAGACTTACAAGAATTTACTCCCCATCTATATAAAGTAGTAGATATAGTAGAGAAACTACTACGTAAACGAGATAGCTAGCCTTTAGGTAAGAACTAGCTAGAGCGATTCATATCGCGTTCAGACGAGCTTAAAATAGCTTTTAATTAAGTAAAGGACCGCTAAAGAATATAGTAGGAAGATTTAGAGGTTATTAACGCGTAGTTAAGTTTTATATAAGAGATAATTAAGAAGTATAGAGTATATTCTAACGATATCTATAACTTTAACAAGACTAGCTTTTAGATAGGTATAATTAGCTTAATAAAGGTTATTATAGGCGCAGAGTATCGTACAAGGCCTACTCTTACGTAGCTAAGTAATCGCGAGTAAGTTATAGTTATTTAGAGTATCTACGCTGTAGAGTATACTACCCCGCTATTTATTATCTATAAGGGACGCATCTATATCTCTACTTAGTACGAAGAAGTAGATATACTATACAACTAGAAGCTCTTAGTATTATAGAATAGCTAGATAAATAATAAGCTTAGCCTTANGTAGTTAAAGCACTTTAATAAGTATATAAAGACGCGTTAGGTAGAGTTATATAAATTACTTATTCTTAATAGTTATAAGAGCTATCTAAACTAAGAATTTAAGAACTACTATCTTATATAGAAGATTCTTACTCTTTATATACCTACTTATTTATTATATATACTCTAGCTACTTAATATAGTCTACTTTTTATCTCTTAAGTAGAAGTACTCTTAACGCGTATAAGACTTAGCACGCTACTANNTCTAGTATATTAATAAAGAACGCTTTCTTCTAGCCTTTTAAGACGCGTTTCGCGACGTGTTTANNTCNAATAACTATAANAANGCCTTTAAGNTAGTAGGAATAGTCCCTATTAACGCGTAGAGAGTTATTAATCGTCTTAATATACGCCTTTATACCCTACTATAAGAAGCTTTACTAGAAATACTCTAGTAGTTAAAAATACTAAGCAATTTATACGAATTTAGGTTATAGTTAAAGCTTATAAAAGACTTCTTTATATAATTACTAACTACTATATAAGAAAGCTTCTTAAAGCTTATTAAAGGAGCTAAAGAGATATTATATAAGAATATACTAATAGAGGCCTATATATAAGAGCTTAAAGAGTAATTAATAGAGGTAATAAAGCGCTAAGAGCGTAAAAGAAAGCAGATATAGATAGATAGAATACTAGACTTTAGTGCAGAAGCATCGCAGGCAGCTAAAAATACTACTACTAGTCGTACGACATTAAAGAAGGCGCGTAGTAAGAGTAGTTAAGAAAAGGCCTAGCTAGGTTAACAACGCTATAGAACCTATAGAGAGATAGGCTATAACGCTTATATATGCTAAAAAGATATAGAAGAAGATTCTTTATTAGATATAAGTAAGTTGTATAACGCATCTATAGCTAGTATAGAGTAATTTAACTTTTCGTATATAAAGTTCGCGATACTAAGAAAAAGTAGCACACTTAATGGAGTAGTACTCTTAATAGTAGAATACGTTAAGTATATCTATTTATCTTTAATTTAGATAGCGCTAATATATATTATAGGCTAGTTTAGGTACTTAAGGTCTTAACGCTCCTACTAACGTAGTTATTTCGCTCTCTATTAAGGCTAACTTTTCTTATAACACTAGTACTCTAGCTACTCTTAAGTATTAGTACTATTATAGGCCCGACGTATCTAACGCCGCTAAGGTTACTACCTTATACGTTTCTAAAGTGTCCTCTAAGAAGCGTTAGTTTAATATCTCTTATTATATCTCTAATCTAGCTAATAATAGTATCTAACTCTTACTCTTTAGTAATCTATTTATAGAGTAGTAGGTAGCTCTTTTCTTCTATAGAAATATAAGGTTTTTTATTCATTTTTTCTATTACCTTAATGTATTATAATATTATTTAAAGTTTTCTCTTCTCTTCTCTTCTTTAGCTAGGCCTCTTAGGCTAGCCTCTAAGTTTTAGAGTATCTTTATTCTATACGCTCTCTACTGCGTATCTATTAAATTTCTAAGAGCTAGCTACTATATTTATAACAGCGTAGGCAAGACTACTTAGATTAGTTTTAGTAGTAGTATTACTTAGAGGCATATAGAAGTGCGTAGAACATTAAACTAGCCTTAATTTAAATAAACACTTATAGACCTTATATAAAAGAATATTAAAAATCTACCTAATAAGCTATTATAGCGGTTAGGTTTATATAGTCGTTTTTTCTACTAGGCTAAATTATACTCTAGTTTAGATTCTGTTTAGATATATATAGGAATAAGTGCTAAGCCGTTATACTACTTCTCTCTCTATTAATAGCTTAGAATAAGCTATTAAGAGCTTTTACTATAAAATATTTACTCCTTTTAGATTATATTATTAGGTAGTAGTCTAGGCCTAAAATAGTATAGAGGTACTATTAATCTGCGCACGTAATATTAATCTATTTATTTACCTATATAGTATATTAATAAGCTACGCTACTCTCTACCTATAATAATAATAAAATTCTCTTCTTTCTCTCTCTCTATACATATATATATATATTATACTACTTTACTACCTAGCTAGCGCGTTACTAGAGGCGTATCACTTTATTAATCTTTATTTACTTTATTATTTTACGCGCAGCCTTTTCTACGTTAACTATAGTTTTAGCTTTAAAGAGTTTAAGAAGTATAACTATTATACTTAGTAGAAAGAGAAGTACTCTCTTATAAGCTACTTCTTTTATTATCTAATCTCTTACTTATCTAACTCTAATAGTTTCTAGAGTATATTAAGAAGGAGTTCGCAGCCTTTATTACTACTATAGATCTTTTAGCTGCCGCTAGAGCTAGCGACGAGCTAGAGAAGCACTAGCCTCTTACCTAGAGAATAGTAGAGGACGCTGCTCTAGTGTTAGTTCGCTAGGTCTAAGTAACTTAGAGCTAAGAGAAAGAGTTATTATTAGTAGATCTCTTAGCCGCTAGCTACTAAGTCTTAGTAGAGATTTAGGATAGGTTACGTCGTTTAGAGAGCTAGGTAGCAGCTATAGAGTTAGTTATATTAGCGTTTAGAAAGAGTCTAGTGCTGCGTTCTAGTAGAGCGGTAGAGAAGAAGGAGAAGGATAAGAGTATAGTATTCTAGCCGGAGTTAGATTACTATAGCCTTAGCTCTAGCTTAGCTAAGAGCTCTAAGTCTAAGATTTAAGTAGTTAGTTATATTATTAGTAGTTTATATTATTTTTATAGGCGTTTTAGTTTAGTTTTATTTTAATATCTATTATAAAGTTTAGTTTTTTCTTTCTCTATACTTAATTATCTTATAGTAAAGTTATATCTTCTATACTTTACTTCTAAACTATAATCTATTTTAATAGAGAGTAGAGTAGTT